CGCCCCGCGCGCGCCCACCTGCCCGTCCCGGAAGCGCGCCTGGAGCGCGCGGCGCGGCGCCAGGAAGTCTCGAACCCGCAGGTGCCGGGCGTGCGTCTCCTTGAACCACACGGGGGCCCCCGGCCCGAGGGCCGCGTTGAGGGCCCCCAGAGTCTGGCCCACCCCGAGACGCTCGGTCTCCATGGTGAGCGGAACCGGAAGCACTATGGTGGTACCACTTCCGGGAAGGGGCGGGGATCCGGCAAGCGCCCTCACCCCACTAAGTGGACAAGTGAGCGCCTGGGCCGGTCCGCTAGGCTGCGTTGGACCTATGGCCCCTGCCGCACTTACGCACCCCAGGCTAGACCTCGCGGGGTCCTCTCCTCACCTGGGGAGAGGATCTCCACGCCCCTGGGGCTCATGTCCACCACAGGAGCCACCCCACACCTTTGTACTTCATGTTTCACTTTTTCTCATTTTAAACCTGACTCAGAATGTCAGAATAAACGCCAGTGAGCAAACCCTCAAGGTGTAGGCACACGGAAGGCACTTCTGTGTTCTACGCTTTCAAGTTCTTTGCAAACCTGCTTTTGAGATACAGGTGTCTTTATTACTGAGAAAACGCCCAGTCTGATAGAACGGCCCGTTTTCTTGAAATCTAAAGACTTAGAACCATCACGATCAGAATTGCTAGCTTTTAATGTTCCTCCCGTGACCTGTGTAGATCACAAGTGATCATCCAAGTAATCCCGTTCTGGCGAAAGAGCCAGTGGGAGCCAACTAAACTTTGTGACCACGAGCGTTCTCAATTCTCAGTATCGTATGGAAACTGCAACGTCTGGAAGAGAGGTCTCGACTATTTCGAAAGTTTACAAGCACTTTTTTTTTTTCTCTCACTCCCCCTTTCCCCACTTTCGATCGAGATTGAGCTTGCCTGCTGATCTGTGCTTTGGGAGTGCCCAAAGCTCCAAGAGAGGAGGGAAATGCAGGGGGCAGGAAGTTTGGCAAGGCCTCTCTCGGGGTCAGAGCTGCGAGGCCCTGCTGAGAAGCGCCGAAAGAGCACTGGGCGGACACGACATTCCCGATGGCTTCTTGGCTTGCCCACTCAACGGGAGTGATCGTGTCATTCCAAAGCCCTTTCTATGCCACATGCTCAAGACCTGGAGACAAGCTGATTGACTTCAGCTACTACTCTCGGTCCACGAAGACGGTTAGGGTGGTTTCCCCCCCCCCCCCAGGAAGTGAAGGGCTATCTTTAGCTGGGGCGCCTCAGTGGGACTCCGCCATTGCAGCCAGGACCTCTCTCTACAGTGCTCCCAGGGGGTTGCAGAGTTTCACCAGCCCCAGCTCTTCGACGGCTATGCCTGCAATTTCCAGCCTGAAGGCAAGCACCTGAGAGAGGGACAGAGACTGGAGAGGCTCAGGGGCGGGTGCCTGGGGGTCAGGAGCCACCCCCACTGTGGGCCACCAGAGTGCTGCTCAGGCAGGAGAGCAGGGAACGAAATCCAAGCGCAGCTGGAATGCTCTGGAGACAACAGCTGCTTTTGGGATTCCGTTGCCCGCTGTCCAGCCGCTGGAGGGGTGCGGGTGGGGGGGGGCTCCTGGCCCTAGGTCACTGGCCCTGGGGCCAGACCCACAGCCCGTCCATCCCGTCCCCCGGGGGCGGGGGTGGGGCAGGCCGGGAGTAGGCAAGTGTAACCTAGTCGGGTGAGAAGTGAGGCTCTCACCTGAGCCCCACAACAATAGGAGGGAAGGCGGGCGGCCTCTCCTGGGACCAGGTCCCGATCCGGATTAGATCCCAAGGGCGGCTGGATTAGCGCTGTGGGTCCCCACGCAGCCCGAGCCACTGGGCCCGGGACGGTTTAAGAAGGGGGGGTAAGGGGGTGGAGGGGTGGGGGAAACGCAAGGCGTCGAAATCCGCCCAGAGGAAAGCGCCGTCCGCGGTGGTGGTGGGAACCGGGGAGGAAGTCACCCCGCGCGGCCACTTTTGGGGGGGACCCCCAGCTCCCCCCCACACACCCTCCCCACCCCGCCCCGCCGCCACCCCCCGTCGCTTTGGGGCCTTTTGTCCCGTGACGCTGCCTGCGGCGCCTAGAACCGAGCGGGCCCAGCACGCCGCAGCGACGGACACCCCGAAACCCACGGACGACAGGTCACGGGCCCCGACGTCGCCAGGCTTTCCCGCCCGCACGGCCCTGGCCAGAGAGCGGACGCAATGTTCCGCTCCCCCCCACACACACACCCCCGAGGCCGGGACAGGGCCGCGGCGCCCGAACCCCGCGCGGCGCCCGCGACTCTCGCGCCACTAGGCCCTGGATTCGGATCCAGCCGGGGGGGGGGGGCGGGAGACTCTCGCGAGGCGCGAGCCGTACGAGCGAGGGCAGGCTGCTGGCTCCGGGCGCCGGGGTAGTAGGTGCGGGTGGCACGTCCGACTCGGCTTCGGTCCGGTCCGGCCCAGGCCCGTCCCCATTGAACAGCTCCGTCAACACTTCTTCCGGCGTGCCCTTCCGCTGGCTCTAGGGCTGGCCCGCAGAGTTGGAGCCATTTTAAGGCGAAACCGCTAGGCCACGCCCCCTCGCGCCCGCCGGGACCAATCCGCACGCGGCCACGCCCCCACGAGGCGCGCGACGCCGACGCGGCCACGCCCCCGCCTCCCGGGCCCGCCAACGGTCGCGCGAGTGACGGTTAGGGGCGGGCCGTCCTTCCCAGACGCGCCGGGGAAACCTGAGCCGCGCCGCCCCGCCCCCGGGGCCCGGCCCCTCCCCTTCCCCCCCAGAGCCGGGAGATTAAGTGTGGCGGTGGGTGGGGTGGGGTGGGGAAAGGCGGGTCCGGGAGGCTCGGGGCCCCCCTAGCCCCCCCCCCGCCCCTTGACCAGGTGTGCGGAGGGGAACAGGTGCGCGGCGGCCCCGCCCCGGGAGCCCCGCGTCGCGGCCGAGGGGCCCAGGCTGGGGCCTAGGGCGATCGCGCTGCCAGGTGTCCTCCCCCCGCCCCTCCCCGGCTCCTCCGGTCCCCCGGGATGGCCGGCGCGGGGAGAGCGACAGGTGCGCGGGACACCGGAGCCGCCCCCGGGGGGGGGGGCGCCCCAGCTGTCATGGACGTCGCCGCCGCGGCGGGACGTAGCGTGCGCGGCGCCCTCCGGGCCGCAGGGCGGCGCTGCGGCCACGCCGGGCCGCGGTGCGACCGGCTAGGCCCAGGGCCCCGACCATGGCCGCCGCCGCCGCCGCTTCGGCCTGGCGCTGCCTCTCCCGGGCGCGGCCCGCGTCGTGCCGCCCGCGCGCGGAGCTGCCATGGTGAGACGGACCCCCCACACCCCCCTCTCCACGGCCGATCTCCCCTCCTGGCCACTCGAGCCCGCTCTCTAACCCCCGCCTCCCGTCCCCGCCAGGGTCCCGCGGCGCGGGCACCGGCTGTCCCCCGCGGACGACGAGATGTACCAGCGGACGCGCATCTCCCTGCTGCAGCACGAGGCCTCTCCCGCCATGTACATCGACAGCTACAACAGCCGCGGCTTCGTGATCAACGGGAACCGCGTGTTCGGGCCCTGCGCCCTGCTCCCCAACTCGATGGTGCAGTGGAACGTGAGCCGCCCCGTCGAACTCACCCCGAGGCGCACACGGTGGAGGGGGGAAAGAAGAGGGGGGGGTGTTAATTTGATTGACAAGTTGAAAGAGGGATCTTCCCCCCCCCCAATACAGGTGGGGTCTCACCAGGATATCACTGAAGACAGCTTCTCCCTCTTCTGGATGCTGGAGCCCAGGATAGGTACAGGGGATCTTGGGGAAGGGGGTACTTAGGGCATTTCTGCCCCGTTAATACCCTCCACAGACTGACTAGCTGCCCCTCCTTTTTCTAGAGATTGTGGTGGTAGGTACTGGAAACAAGATTGAGCGTCTGCACCCCTACGTGCTCCAGGCGATGAGGAAACGGGGCATCGCCGTGGAAGTGCAGGACACGGTAGGTTCCGAGGTTCTTTGTGGGTCGTTCCGGCTCAACCCTAGGCTGACGGATGACCAGTTTGTGTTTTCATTTCAGCCCAATGCTTGTGCCACCTTTAACTTCCTGTGTCACGAAGGCCGAGTGACAGGAGCTGCTCTGATCCCTCCACCTGGACACAGTTCACTCACACATGTGGGCCCAAGTGCAGCATGATCCAGCAACTGAGCCGCTGTCTGGGAGAGCAGAGAACAGAGGGCATTCTCATTTCCTTACCCTTTCATTCTCGGCACTTTAATAACACTTGAGATTGTAAAATCATAAGCCTCTTCTAGTTTGTATGGGGTGTGTGGCTGGGTCACTGGGCTTAGGGTGGTGATATGCAAGTTGAAGGGGCACTGTTTCATTATTGCCCAGGAGGCAGTTTATCTCCCCGTCCATGTACTTGCTCACTTTTGCAGATCTGAGGCCTTCAATTCTCATTCTCAAGTTAGGAAGCGTGTTATGTTGTGACCTAGGTAGTCTCATGTAGCCAAGCTGTTTGGATGCCAAGACTATGTTGTAATTTCCAAGAACCACTGGAGTCATAAGACATGAAAATAGAGAATTGTCTCAGCAAGGCAAAATTAGCAGGAGGATGCAGCACCGTCAGCCAAAAATATGGCAAGCACAGAGCAGCAGGCTGCTTCCCTATTTATTACTAATGCAGCAGGCCCCGCCCCTCTGCTCAGATTGGCTGAGCACAGGCTCATAATTGGCTAATTTGAATAGGACAAGATGTATTCCCTTAAGGTGACTGAAACTTGATTACCTGTACTCAAATAAGCTCAAAATCTATCCACCCTCTCCATTTCTTGAGCACTCTTGAGGTTTGTCTTCTAACGTGTGTCTTAATTCCATCTTGGAAAAACCAGTTAAGTAAAAACCCTCACATTTCAAAAATCCCTATCACAGAGCAGTTCCTCTTTCACATTTAGGCCACTTGGGCCTGGGCACTTCCTTCAGCTCAAAACTAAAGCTCTACCACTTGAGCCACAGCACCACTTCCGGTTTTCTGGTGGTTTATTGGAGTCTCAGGCTTTTCCGCCCGTGCTGCCTTTGAACCATGATCCTCAGATCTCAGCCTCCTGAGTAGCTAGGATGACAGGCGGGAGCCACTGGCTTTGGCCCATCTTAGGCCACTTTAAGCAACACATTGACAGAAAAAGGTTTTCTCCAAGGACCTCCCCAGGAGGCAAAGTAGGTTTGAGAATAGCACATTAGGATTATAGACATGCAGCCGACACAACACCTTAATCTCTAGGCCTTAGGGCGTGGTGGTGGCTGAAGAGCTCTAGGCATCTGCTAACAGATCAAACATCACCACTCATTTTTAAACTTTTATTGAAAAACAGGGATGGGGGGAGATACTGGATCCTTTTTCAGAAGAGCCTTTTCTCATACCTGTAAACAGAGAACACCTGTGAATCAGGGCAGGAGGAAGGAGGGGTGATGAGGAAGACGCTCCCCACCCAAGGACAGGATTTGCTTACGAATGGAGGCTGTGAACTCCCCCTTCCACCTGAGCTGAGGATGTTCTCTTCTCGAACTTAAGTTCCCCAGAGTACATCATGGCTCTGAAGGAGGAACACATGTCAAGAGATGACCGTTCTAGAGAAATGCAGCCCCTCTTTAACCCACGGCCCAGCTTAGCTGAGCAAGCTCACCGGACTTGAGTCAAGCTCTTGGCACCGATATCTTGGCAGGAGTGCTGGATGCCAGCGATCAAGTAAGGGACAAACTTGTGGATGGACCCTTTGTCTTGCACAGCCCCCGACACCCCCTGGGCCACTTTGATTTTGTCTGCTTCACTGGAGAAAAAGGCAGAGAAACGGGCGAGATCACAAGTAGTCTCAAATGCAAGGTTGGGGGTGGGGGATGGTGGTGGTGATCATTGATTTCTCGGCCTGACTCACCTGAAGTATCGGTTCTGGCTGCTGAGATGCTTGTCCATGGCATCGAGGGAACCCATGCCCCGGTATTTCTTTAGCCGGATCCCATCAGAGAAGAAGTACTCTCCAGGGGCCTCCGTGGTGGCGGCCAGGAGGGAACCCATCATGACTGTGAACAGACAGTGTATTTGGAACACAGTCTGAATGGTACAGAGAAGGGGTTCTCACGGTGCTTTGAGTGCCAGGCCTTACCTGTGGAGGCCCCAAGGGCCAAGGCTTTGGCAATATGGCCCACATTTTGGATTCCTCCATCAGCAATGACAGGAACACCAAAGCGCCGGGCGTACTCTGAAACCTTGTATACAGCTGTTGCTTGGGGCCGCCCACAGGCCAACACTGTTGAGACACGAACAGACAGGTGGGTAGTGTTGGTGAGGATAGGCAAGAGGAGACACCCAGTACTCCAGGAGCTCTTGGCTACGCTTGCACCAAGACGGCATCTTGGCTAGATCGATTGATCGATCTGGGGCAGCTGCTACCCACCTGCCTTTGAACAGTACACGACATGGTTCTGCTGGCTTCACCCCTGCTTGTGCGCGTGCATGTGTGCAGGGCCCAGGGCAGCCTCAGGCACATGCAAGTCTTAGCAGCTGGGGAAGCCCCGCCCACCTGGTTATCAGATGGGGGGCGGAGTCACCGTGCAAGTTAGTAACCGGAGGTACCAAGTCAGGCCCAGCTCCTCCTCCCTGCACCGTGGGCAGCCCTGGCAAGATCCGGCCACGTGGTAAATGTGGAAGGAGAAGCAGGCTCCAGAATGGTTCCTGGAACCATACCTACTGTGGAGTATGTGTGCAGAGCCAAGGACTGCCTGCAGAAAGAGGTCTTGCTGTGTGTGCACCCCAGGAAGGAGCTGTGATCTTAAGCTACCCTAAAACAATGGTCTGTAACATCTATTGGCCCTGCCCACCCGTGAGCACCACAAACCCCGGGAGCTACAGCTACAGTCAACCAAGCAGCTGGGCAGTGGGCAGCTGGGCCGGGCCAGTGGGCCGGGCTGGACTTACTATAGCAGCCCGTGACAGTAGAAGGGCATTTGGGACTGTGGGACTTTAAGTCTGGAGGGATCTTGGGAGCCACTAAATAAAACAAACAGACCAGAGTTTAGAGAGGGAGCAGAGCAGGAGCAAGGAGGCCAGGCTAGGCGGGGAAGTGGTAGGTGAGGGTTGACAAGAACTTGTCTTGCTTCCAGCCATGTTCACCCATCCAAAAGGCCTGTTGGGCCCTACATTTGCCCATGTTGGAGGACTCATTATAGCTTCCGGAAGAGTGCTTGGCCCCAACCCCCCCTACTCTTACCTTCCTGAGTGATGCAGATGGAACCACTCCCCATGCCCACCCGTAGGGCATCCACGCCGGCGTCAATGAGGTTCTTGGCCTGAGCAGCAGTAACCACTATAATGAGGGAGAGGGTATGGCTTACTTGAGGGGTCCAGGTGACCCTCCTGTCCACTCCCAATCCCACCAGGGCCTAAGCTCTTCTTACCGTTGCCTCCGATGACTTGGAGATTGGGGTATTTCTCTTTGATATACTTGATCATATTGATTTGGAAGATGGAGTTGCCCTGGGAAGAGTCCTGGGACAGGAAGGAAGGAGGGCCCTATTAGATTGATAGGGCATTTGTCCCTGTCCCTTGTCTTGCATGCATGAGACCCTGGGTTTGATTCCTCAGCACCACATAAGCAGAAAAAAGCCAGAAGTGGCACTGTGGCTCAAGTGGTAGAGCGCTAGCCTTGAGCTGAAGAGATGAGGGACAGTGCCCAGACCCAGAGTTCAGGCCCCATGACCAACAAAATACCCAAAACCAAAACAAAACAAAGCAGTAGTAGCTCACCAAAACTACCACATCCACACCAGCCTGAGCTAGCAAGTCCAGCCTATACTTGTCATCTTCATGAGTTCCAATGGCTGCTCCACACAGCAGCTGCTTCTTGGCATCTTTGGAGGCTAGTGGGTAATCGCGATTCTTCTTCAGGTCTGTTCGAGCAATGATGGCTACCAGCTCATCATCTTCATTTACAATGGGTAACTTCCCTGAAACCACAGCAAGACATGAATCAGGACCTGGACGCTATCCCTAAAGCTTTATCAATCAAAGCTAGTGCTCTCCACCATTTTGAACCAGTGTCAATTCCAGTTTTTCTGGTGGTTCACTGGAGATTAAAGATTCTCAGAGACTTTCCTGCCCAGAATGGCTTTGAACCACCATCCTCAGCTTGCAGCCTCCTGAGTAGCTAGGATTACAGGCATGAGCCACTGGTGCCAGCATCGCCTCTTCCTCCCTCTAGGACTCACCTTTCTTGCTGCGCTGCAGAATTTCATTTGCCTCTTTCAATGTGATACCTGCGGGAGCCACCACCAAGTCTTCCCTCTTTGTCATGATCTAGGAGGGAGAAGTCAGGAGGTTGGTCTAGTCAAATTAGGCCTCCCCACAGAATCAGGCCCCACCTTGGGGGAGGAAGGACTCCAAATATGTTCACATACCTGGACCCAAACCACCATCCCTCCCGGCCCCTAGTTCTTACAATCACTGAAACAGTAAAGCACTAAAGAACGAAGTGTGAATAAAAGCACATGTACTGGCAGTTAAGAGGACTATGGAAAGAGAGGATGCATGAACCCCATGTAGCAGTCAGAAATGTGGCTGGGCATTTGTTTCTCCTAGACAGACGTCCTCAGTGACGTTACACAGGTAACAGAAGCCTCCTGTCTTCTGTGTGGGTTCTAAGAACTTGGCAATGTCATTTATCAGTGGCACCTACCTCTTCCAAAAGACGGTCATGTTCCTCTTCCTTGAGAAAATCAATGTCCCTCGAGGAAATGATGCCTACCAACCGACTTCCCATCCGGCCTGTATCTGTGATGGGGATACCACAGAAGCCATGCCGGGCCTTGGCTTCAAAAACATCCCGCACACGATCCTTAGGGCTGAGGACCACAGGGTCTGTGATGAAGCCCTGCTCATATTTCTGGAAGGTATGGTGAGAAAGGACATTGCATCTGTACACTACTTTTGTGAAATGTTTGGTCTAAAGTGTGGTGTCTTTGCCAAACTGTCTATGTCAGTGCTATGAGACCAAATCAAACTAACATAGGACAAGATGTAAGGGTGGGCTAGAAATACTGTAACCCTGGGTGTTCTTCTGCTAGCTTAAGGAAAAGGGTTTCAGACCCGTTTCCTTAAGGAAGAAATAATAGGAAGAAAGGATCCTAAATTAGCAGAACTAATCTAATCATCCCACCCCCTCCCCCGCCAGCCTCCTGCCCCCAGCCCCAATTCAGCACAATTTCAAAGGAGCTCTTGGTCATGATCCTTTCCCTTCTGACCTTCACTTTCCGAACTTCATTGGCCTGGAATTCAGGTGTACAGTTGTGGTGGATGAAACCAATACCGCCAGTAAGCTATTATACAACGAACAGACAGAAGATGAAATTAAATGACAATGAGACCAATCAGCAAAGCTCACAACTGCCCGTCTAAGAGGAAGCCATATGGAACTCCTGCCTTGTCTTCCCACATCCCGTTGGGCTCACCGCCATGGCAATGGCCATCCCGGCCTCTGTAACTGTGTCCATGGGTGAGGAAACCAGTGGAGTCTTCAATGTAATCTTCTTGGTAAGGGCAGAGGTCAGGTCCTGAGGAAGAGAAAGGCTCACGAATGGGGGTGGGGTGGGGGAAGAGGCCAGAAATACTTCTTCCTTGTTCCTCCCATGTACTCCCAAAACACAGCCTCTGTAGGGCTGGCATGCTGGTCAGAAATAATCCATAATCCGTAGGCGACCACCCACAAGTGCAACCCGGTGCAGTAGCCAAAAGCGGGTCACATCTTGATGTGACCTTATTATTATACTCACCACCTGGTCTGCGGTGAAGTCGATATATCCAGGAAGAATGAGAAAATCGCTGTAGGGGAGGGAGGGGAACGAATTGGGAGTGTGACTCTCAGGCTTCTGTTACCTAGGAACTCTAAATCCATCTATCATCCCATAAGGCATCGGAGCAGGGAGAGGCGTTAAGGGCCTGTGTGTCACCAGCAAGACGGTCCACGGGGTGTGAATTAAGACAAGGGGCTTTCTTCCCACTGGGCTGTCATCCGTCTGCCTGGCACCCTGACAAGCCCTGAAACCCCAAGTATTGTCGAAATGGCCCCTCCAAGACCAAAGCCTGCTCAAGAAGGATCCAAACGAGCCAAGGAGCCAGCTAAGTCCCGGATCCTGGCCCCCACGCTCGCCCCCACGCAGGCTCCTTTGAAGCCCGGTCCGTTCTGCCTGCCCAACGTGCCGCTCCCTCTCTGCCCAGGTGAATCCCCGAAGGTCCGCACTTGTAGGTGAGGCCGTCCCCGCAGTTGAAGAGCTGCTGTGCGGTGAGTCCGTCGTCGGGCACGTATGACGTGCCGCCGCTGATCAGGTAGTCCGCCATGGCTACCGCGGACCGCCACCGCGTGTCTCCGAGGACCGCGCCGCAGAGGCCTCAGCGGTCTGGGCCGCGCCAATATAAACCAGAGGATTTCGTCACTGCGCCGCGCGCGCCGCTGACGTCAAGGCGCACTGCGCACGGGAGGAGCCAATAACGTGCCGCGGCTGAGGGAAGCGTTGGCTGAAAAGCCCGCGCATGCTCCCCTCAGCCGCCGGCCGTAACCAGGGGCAACTCGGGCTGTTTCCCGTCCCACCCACCCCAAGCCCCGCCCCTGAAGAGCTGCGGGATTCAGCCGCGTGGCTTTTGTTTTCCACTGTCCCCCCCCCCATCCCGATTCCTCCCCAAATAAAGACGCACTGTTCACTAGCGTGTTGAAAAGACGTGCTTGTCATTCTTAATAAACAACTAGAGTAAGAATACATAAGAGAAACAGAGTGGTATCTTTATATGATACACAAGTGTATGTTACAAGAATCCCACCAGGCACAGGAGCCTCAGGTTTAAGGCCTCAAGTTCGGCCAGGAAAAAAAAAAAAAAGGCATGGTAAAATTTTTACTTTTTTTTAACATCTAAAATGTCACTTGTCATAAAGGGGGGTGTAATAGAAATTGTCTTTAATAAATCATAATTGAAGTTCCCCTCATTTTCTTCCAGTAGGAGGCTGAATTTATGTCTGAGCGTGAAGGGAAGAACCGGGCTCCTCTGTGGTCAGTGAAGTCGGCCAGTCCAGATTGAAAGCCAGCTGAGGAGATTCCCTGGAGGGTCGATTCATCATTAATTCCATCTTTCTTGAGGAAGGGGAAGGGGCCACATTTCTCCTAGACAGTCCAAGCCCTTTCCCCAAGCCGGAGCGGGGAAGAAAAAAAAAAATGTCAACCAGCAACTTTGTAGGACATCTGGCTCTCAGGAAACCCAGGAGCCCCCATGAGCTGGAGTCTGTTGTAGATCTATGAAGATGCAAAGGGGGCAAAGTGTTCTTTTACATTTTTAACAGAAGTAGCCTGAAAAGCTTTGTAACTACACGAGTAAAAAAGAAAAAAAAGAAGAAAAAATGGAGGCCTCTTCTTTAGTGTAAAAGTCTGTCCATTTTTTCCTGGCTGTTTTTTTCCTTGGACCACCACGGAGGCATCTCAGTGCATGGTGCTTGCATTGGCCACTGCAATGGCCTCCTGAATTTCTCGTATCACCAGGATCCGGGTCAGCATTTGTCCCATCTGTTCTCTGCTGATAGGCTGGACTGAGTACCAGATTGGGCTGTTGGGGGCCACCACTGGCTCGGGTGTCAGGTAAAAGGTGTCATTCCGGCCTTTCACACTCTGAGGGCTGAAGAATATGTCAGTAAAAGCTGGATGACAACATTATAATGTCAGCCCTCCCAGCGGGGACTTCCCAGACAGATGCAATCTGCAAAGGTTGGTAAAGCACCAACTTGGAAGGTGTGGTAGCATAGTTATAGAATTCTATGCAGCCACCATGTAACTCCTCCAGGATAGCTATTGGAGCTTCTGTAAAGGGCAGTAACAAGTTCTTTCTGCCCCTCCTTCACAGCTGTGATCAATCACTAAACTGCACTTGCCTAGGGAACCCATAGGTTTGACAAATGGGTGTCTATACCCACTTGTAGCATGTGAGTGTGTGTGTGTGTGAGGGCTTGAACTCCGGGCCTGGGCACTGTCCCTGAGAATTTAAACTCAAGGCTAGTGCTCTACCACATGAGCCATAGCTCCACCTCCAGTTTTTTGGTGGTCAATTGGAGATAAAAAAGTCTACTGGCTTTCCTGCCTGAGCTGGTAAACCTCAAATCTCCACCTCCTGAGTAGCTAGGATTACAACACTGAGCCACTAGTGCCTGGCTTGGACAATGATCAGAACATCAACAAGTGTTTGCTCATATTATAGTCTCTCTTTCTCTCTCTCTTGAAGTTTTTGTGCAGGTTCTGGGACTTGAACTCAAGGCCTGAGCTTTTTTGTTCAAGGCTAGTGCTCTACTACTTGAGCCACAGATCCACTTCTGGCTTTTTAGTAGTTAACTGGAGGTAAGAATCTCAAGAACTTTCCTGCTGAGACTGGGTTATAACCATTATCCTTAGATCTCAGCCTCCTGAATAGATAGGATTACAGGTGTGAGCCACCAAGCACCCAGCTAATTTTCTCTAGTCTTTTTTTGTCTAGTCATGGGGCTTGCACTCAGGGCCTGGGCCCTGTCCCTAAGTGTCCCCCGCAACCCCCAACCCCTCTAAAGGCTAGTGCTCTACCACTTTGAGCCACAGCTCAACTTCCAATTTTCTGATGGTTAATTGGAGATAAGAGTTTCATGAACTTTCTTACCCGGGCTGGCTTTGAATCACTATCCTCAGGTCTCAGCCTCCAGAGTAGCTAGGATTACAGCCATCTTCGCCCAGCTGTTTTCTATACTTTTAATACTGATCCTGGTACTGAAGTCTTTATCTAAGCTAACTGCCTTCTACTATATGGTGCTATACCTCTATTAAGTACTTAGCAGACTCATCATTTGATGGATCCATTCAAAACATATTAAAGAGCTACTATATGCTAAGTCTCTACTAGTTGTGGATGTTATAGAAATGAACAGGAACAGTAAGTACTTTTATCTCAAGAAGCATACAAATTAAGAGGGAAGACAGACAGGTAATTAGTTAAACAAACAAACAAACAAACAACAAAATGATCACTAAGTGCTGCAGAGTTTAGAAAAGGTAGGGAATCGCCGGGCACCAGTGGCTCACGCCTGTAATCCTAGTTATTCAGGAGGCTGAGATCTGAGGATCGTGGTTCAAAGCCAGCCCGGGCAGGAAAGTCTGTGAGACTTATCTCCATTAAACCACTAGAAAACCGGAAGTGGCGCTGTGGCTCAAGCGGTAGAGCGCTCGCCTTGAGCTGAAGATCTGAGAGATAAGGCCAGAGTTCAAGCCCCACAACCAAAAAAAAAAAAAAAAAAAAGGTAGGGCATCTGGAAATGCTTAATCATAAGACTAGTGTTAATTTCAGAAAAGCAAGATGATATCCTTAAATGGAAGCCAGGGTATGGCTAGAGAGCAGCACAGATAGGAGGGAGAAGGCAGCCTTGGCTATCATGTAAGGATTACTTTGTAAAGGAAGATTTTGCAACCAAGAAAAGATCCTACTGCCACTGCTGTGAAGATGCCATGCTAACCTGCAGGTGCAGAGGCAAGCAAAAGCTGATGGGTATACCTCAACCTGGTTGAGGGTGGCACTGAACGGAGGCCAGGGCCAGCATGATACAGGATGTGAGTGAAAGTGGTCTATGCAGCTTTATCCCGTGTCCATGAAAGATGAACCAGCAGGTTTCAGGGACCTCCTTTTAGATCACAATGCATGGCGTATCACACATTTCGGAAACACCAGTAAAGGTGCTTCTATATTTAGACTTTTAAGGGCAAGTGTAGTCTCATTGGGACTAGAGAATGTATATGCACTCAAGGAAGCATGCACATAAACATACACGCGTGTTTCGTCAATGCCATTTATCTTCCTCACCATTTGAAGAGGTAGAAATCGTAGAGCTTGATGGGACACCTCAGTGGATTCTCTGGATTCTCTGTCTGCTCAGCATACATGTCATCTGTAACTACAAAACAAGCCCCCACACACATACACCACAGACCTGGCACCAGGTCTTAGCTCAGGCCCAGATCAGGAACCTTTGGCATTTAGCCACCCCAAGTAGGAAATTCTTGGTGGCAAGAAAGGAAGGAAGGATGAAGTGACTAAGAAGAGGCTATCTTCTCTGAGGTTTCCCAGTTTCTAGGAAAGAAGTTTAAAGTTTGGGGCAGGGGAGAAGGGAATGGAGAATTTCTATCCAACAAACCCCAAACTTCACACACCGCTGGCTTCCATCCCTGCGTCCTTCCCCTACCTTTCTGGCCAGTCTGGTGTATCCCAAGGGCCTTCAGGTACCGGATGCTCGTGCTTTTATCCTTGGGATTAGAGGGGTTCTTCTTTGTCTGTCGCAAGACCTTCGAGAAAGCCAGCTTCATGTGCTGGTCCACTGTTTTCAACAGGAAGTACCTGGACCACAAGTGAAAGCAAGGGAGAGGGAGGGGTGCCAGGAGGGTAAAAGGACTGGCCCTCTACCCATTATGTCTCAGAGGAGCTACTCCTACATTCCCAGGATCTGGGCAGGCCTATATCGAAGCACTGTCCAGACAAAGATCCACATCTAGGTGGAGGGGGCCCAGGAACTAGTGGCTCACACCTTTAATCCTAGCTACTCAGGAGGCTGAGATCAAGAGGATCATGGTTTGAAGTCAGCCTGGGTAGGAAAATCTATGCTATTCTTATCTCCAATTAACCAGCAAAAATCTGGAAGTACAGCTGTGGTTCAAGTGGTAGAGCACTACTTTTGAGAAGCAAAAAAAGCTCAGAGGCAGTGCCCAAGCCCTGAGGTTCAAGACCAAGGACCAGCACAAAAAATTTCAAAAAGTAATAAAAGCTAAAAAATGGATGGTAAGGGTCTGGGCAACACACAAAATAGGCCCAAGTGGGGCTCAAACGTTCTCAAATATGTGTCAGAAGAACTCAGAAGCCCTTCTTGAAGTTTCATCTTCACCGGGCAGACACCAGCAATGGCTAAGCGTGGTGCTTCTAGAACACTTACTTGGTATTAAAGAACATCAGAGTGGTCAGCAGGGTGGAAGGGGAGTGTGCCCCAAGTTGTTTACACTCCCACAGCATCTCTTCAGTCACGTGGCTGGGTAGAACATACCCTAGGAGGAATAAAGCACTGCTGCAACAACTGGGGAGTCCCATGGGGTGAGGCCTGAGAACTACACAGAAGCCCAGGTTCTATCACGGAAGTCTCCCTGGGGTGTGGCAAAATAATTTGGAAAGCTGGTAGAAAACACAGACGCCAGGCCTCAGCCCAAGTTCCTGGGGTGGGATCTGAAAATGAGCAGTTACATCTAAGAAGTTCAAGGTTGATACTACCATTATCACTGCTTACTCTAGGGTACTACACTTTGAGAACCAAATGCCTTAAATGACTGCTGTTTCCTGACAAACTTTTGTCCTGATCCAAGGCTAACACGGGGCAAAGGCCTCCCCTCAGGAACAA